ATGAATGAGTCATTTCTGAGTCTGTTTCTAATGTCCTAGAATCAAACAATTGTAAAGTCTAATTTGAGTTTTGATTTTTTTTTTTTCACTAGGTGTTAATGTATTTTTCCTTGTCATTGTCCAGGTCAGTGTATACATATATCTACAAGTGGGTTTACTTCCCTAGCTTATGTTACTGATAATCTGAGCTGCTTTGCCTTGAGTATGCAATAAAATAAAGCTCTTTCTATCTTTCTATTTATTACAACCTATTCAAAACACCTGATGCACCTGATGCAGTGTAATAGGATATTTGCAGCACAGGAGCCCTTACCTCACGCTGTAGATTTCTACAGAAAGGCTGAGCTAGAATGAGTCATTTTTAGAGTGCTCTTCTGTCTGTTTATGATGTAGGTTCTCACATACTTTAAACTTTCAAGTGATAGTGGTATATGTCCCAAACTGGGCTTTGTGCAAAGTCTAATTGTATCTTATACTTATTCAGCTAGGCTTCTCACACCTGTATCTTTCACATGGCTCCCAAGGAGTTCGACTGAAGTATTAACTAAGCCAAAGATGCTTCCAGCATCTTTGCTGGGTTTCAGATTAAAATTGCAATTTAAGTAAATTTAAATTTAAGTGAAAAGTGCCAGTTCCTTGCTCTAAGATCTGGGCTAGTGAAGAAAAGACCAAACTTGCAGGACAAAGGGCTCACACAGCCACATGAGCACTGCCTGGGYTCCGTTCACATCCCCTGTTTGACTGTAATAAGGATTTAATGTCCTGACCTGTCCTTTTAGTCAGATTTGGTCATACTCACCAACACAACTGACGCTGATCTAAAACACAATTACAAAATCTCTGCTTGCTTTCATCTCTGAAAAATCTTGAGTTGGTAACAAATAGGAAAGAAATCAACTGCTTCTTGCCAGTCCTCATGAAATGGAATATCAAGTGTTTGTCTTTGCAGATTAAATTTGTTAGAATTAACATACAATTTTGACAAAATGGTATTTTTCTGRAAAAAAAARAAAGGCTTTTACAGGAAAACTTTTTATCAGCTCTTAAAAGGTTATACATAAGGTTATACATAAAGATTTTGTGGGGAAAAGGAAAAAGAAAAGAAAACATTATGCCTTGATAGGCAACTGTATTTTGTTCATACCCACTCTATATTTTAGTGCACATTTTGATAATGCTGTAAAGGACAATAGGAAAAACATTTGATTGTGGAAGATAGTATAAGAATGAGGAGACAAGTCATCTTGCTTCTATAATTTAACTAACATTAACTATCTCAGTTCCACACAATTGCAGTAAAAAAAAATGCTACAGTTACACAAAAAAAGTAATTTTCTTCATACTAAAGGTCATCTTCAGACAATTCTAAGCAAGATGAGTTTTTCCTAACCTGGTATCTCATTCCAAGCAGTAAAATGAGGTAAGGCCCAGTAATATCGAGACATATCTGTTAYCTTGTTGTTTTTATTTTTTTTTAAATAATCTCCACATCAGTGCTGCTCTGGATAAATGTACTCAAAAYATAGTTTTCAAAAAAGAAGTTTATTCAAGATTTTCACATTTTAATATTTTCTTAAAAAGAAATTTATCAGCAATAAGATCAAAGCAATGATAGCTAAGATCAGAGTTTTGGGGTATTTCTAGCTGCTTTTGGTGAAGTTGGTGCACTTTCCCCACCTTTGCATTCGCAATGACTGGTTTCTCTTTGATGTTTTAAGTCTTGAAGATCAGTAAGGTCTAGAAAAGTGTACAATATGAGCTCAAAACTTACAGTAGCAATTGTGATAAAAGAGTAGAGTTCATAAATCAGAGATGGTTTAAGCAGAAAGAATTTTTCATTGCACTGCTATGTTATAATTGGAATTGCTATACTGTACAAATAGTTACTTAGTATCAGAAAAATAGTTGATTAAAGTTGTGACATTATGCTACTTTGCGGACATTAAATAACATAAGAAAGAAGATAACTGCTCTGTTGAGCTGTAATGGACTGGCTTGCACAATGTAGTGTATACTGAAATCCAAACAGAAAAAAARTAGCATGGAGCAAAATGTGTTTTCAAACCAAATGGTGATGTAACAAATATTTGGTTTGCCTGTGCATTTACAGGTTTATACATTGTTCAGAACTGAGCATCCTATATCATAGCTATGTAACAATCTCTGCAGTTAAATCCTTTAGATCTAACTAGAGGTGGTCCTGCAAAAAGATTGAATTACCATATGTTCTGTGTTATGTACGTTCTCTTCACCTAGGGATAATCTACTTCAGGAGCAATTTGTGAAAAAGAAAAGAAAAAGAATATAAATGCAAATAAATGAATTGAGAAGAAAATAATGCTTTCTTGCACCACAATAGAGAACATAATTCAATCTCAGAGCAAGAAAAAAGTACCAAATGTATAAATTTAAGTTATTAAGTACACTATTTATTTGTTAGAGGTTTAGTATTTCAGAAAAAAAGATGGTGTGACATAGTGAATCAGATCAGACTTTCACAAAAAATGTGGTGAGGTTATCCAGCAATGGCATAAAGATGAACCTATTGCTGTTGGAAAGATCTGTACCGGATCCCAATATGTGAACATATGGGTTCAAATCCATCAGAAATTGCAAGAGAGAATTAATTTTCTTCCTGTAAGTATACATCACTACACTTAAGTAGCACTTAATGTGACCCCAAATCTTTTCTAGGAAAAATGAGAGATTGTCATGTAATCTGACTGCCTGAGCATCCACACATGCGCAGTATTCCAGCTGTCAGAAATAACAAGGAGCTAAAACAACCTAGACCTGTTTCAGACATCATAATCTCATGAGAGTAGAGGCTAGCTGTTTTACTTTCATGACCTCCAAAGCAACTAGTATCATGACTCTTCATTTTACATATGGAGGTCTTGCTTGCATTTCAAGTACATGTGAAATAAATTTTATATTAGACAGCAGAAGCTCTTTTAAAATAATAATAAAACAAAGTCTTACTGAAGCTATTTTAACAGCAATCAAGAAAAGAACATTGCTTGCTAAATCTGTACTTTATAGCTTGCTTTTTTGTTTGCTTCTAATCCTTGCAAAGCCGAGCCCAGCATCCAAAACTCTGCATAAGCCAAACCCTTCAGTGGACAGAAGTGTCTAGAACACCCTATCCCAATTTGTATTTTCTAGAAGGACAGTATCATTTCTGCTTAATATGCAGAAGATGGCCATAATGTCATTGTAAAATAAGAAAGAAAATAGTGGCCCATTACCAGGAAAGGCAAACAGCAGCCTCCTTAAATTGCCCAGCACAGGATGTGAAGTTAATGATAGTTGTAAGATCAATCTTGGTGCTTCCAGGTCTTTYGCACTTCCAGAAACATATTTTTACCATCAAATGCACATAAAGACAGCTAAACTCCCTCTGGGGATGGCAAAGAAGGAGGGGCACAGCAGGAGGAACTAGATCTTAAAGGAAATGCTTTTTTTTTTYCCCAAAGTGCAAAGCTGGAACTGCCCTGAGGTGCATATCCCCTCTCCTTCCTATTCAGGAGATAGACAATCTGATGGTACCACAGGATTAAGGACAGATCTGCATCTTATTAGAGAGTTAAATTTTTTTAAAAAAAACAGATGGAGGACCAGAATAGTTTGTTGAAAATTGATTTCATTGGGCATTTCACTTAGCTTTTTCCTCCTTATGACTGAAGTTTTGTTTTGATATTATTCTGTGAAGGAAGCCAGATGAGGCGATAGCAGCTACAGCAGCAGGTAAATTATTGTCCTAGGGACTAATTGCACAGCTTGAGTTTCTAATTTGTTAGATAGCTGAAAACTTGCCACACAACGGAATACAGGCTGAAAATTACTGACAGATTTCTTTTTATCTCATTTTGGAATAGTAAAACAGAGACTATTGTGATCTAATTGCAGACAATTTACTAGCCAAAAAATTAGTTGAACAAATTATTCTTTCTAGCCTATTCATTCAGGGTAAAATACACACACACACACACACACACACACTCACTTACAAAGATTATTCCTAATTTATGAGTATATTTATGACTGCAGGATGCCTGAGAAGTAAAAATAAAATCAAAATACAATCACTTGTGAAATCTCCCCTTTTAAATACCTAACCACATGAAATATATGGGTCCTGAGGAGGGAAGTCCTGATCTAAAGCTAAAGTCACCCCTCTTTTAGGAGGGAAGATTGAACTACATGACCTCCAGAGGACCTTCTAACCTAAATTAATCCTGTGATGCTCTCAAACATCCATAATTAACAAGATTGTATCAGACTAATTCAAATTTTAAAATGAAAGTCCCAGGACTAACAGAGGAGATACGTATGGAAGGGGCTGACATTCTCTGTGAGCACCACAGCCTACACTCACCCTCAGGTTTCTCCATCAGGCACCAGCTGCCTTGTCCTCATTTCCCACCTAATCCTGTAACAAAACGTTGTTTTACCTCTCTCCTGTTTGTTTGTGAGCACCAAGTAGATGTGTTCCCTGAACAGCCTGAGCCGTAATGCAGTAGGATCCTGTGACAAATTAAGGCAGTCAGAATGAGGGCATAATTGGGAGCTTGTCCTGCCTCTTCTTCTCTACTCTGACCCAGATGCACCTGGGTGAGCAGCATGACCACACACATCCGTCTGCCAAGAAGGCTGCCCCTTCTCCTGTGTGCAGATGTGCTTGCATGCGGACCACAGGCTCCACAAGGCAGATGTTGCTGGACTTTAATCCCCCTGAGCTCTCCGATGGATTAAGCCCCAAATCTCCACCCGTCCTTCTTAATGCTGCAGTAACACACATATTGGTTACGCTGATTTACAAATTAAATGAGAGCAAAAGACAGCCAAAAAGAAACGTTTGAAAGTCTGCTTTGCAATGCRATGCAATTGGGTTCTGGATTATTTTCTCCCGCTAGCCTCTTACCTTGTGCAGTGCCTGCTGAGACATATTTCCCCAGCTGCAGAGGCAGAAGAAGGCATTCATCTCACACACTACCTACCTGTAACCCCTCAATGGCCAGTTTGAGGATAGACGGTGTAAGCTTGGAGGCTTGCTTGAAGGAGAAATTACTCCAGTCTATAATTAGGATGAAGCCATTTATCTGGAGCTCCTGATCTTCAATGAGGACTTCCAAGGACAACAGGATCGCCCGAAGGATGTCTATGAAAGAGTTCCTAAAGTCAGAATGTAAAAAAAAAAAAAAAAATCAGTTTTTGCAGTTTTCTTCACATCTCAAGACATTCGAAWCTGCTGCAGATGAAGCATGTATAGGGGATGAAAGATTTATCCCGGTGGAACTCTTTAGAAAACACAGCTACTTCAGAAGTCTCMCTAAAGCACTCCTGCTCCAAAACTCACCGTCCTCTCTTTGATTTCCTAAGTTCTGTCCACTGAGGGATAAAATAGACCCTGAATTAAATCTCTTTGCTTTTTCTGGCATTCCTTACAATAGATTTTAGYTAAGCTACTTTCTGAGAATATTTGCCTGTAACAAAATGAAATGGATTCAGGCTATCAGTTCAAAATCCTGCTCCTCTGGATGCACTCCCACTTTTTTTCTTTTTTTCTTTTTTCATTCCATTACAAAAAAGAAAGAAATCTGTACAATATTAAGAAAAGTGGTATGGTTACGTATAGGTTGCCTTGCCTTCCCGCTTAAGTGCTGGGAATGGTTTAAAGTTTTTGTGAAACAAAGTTTATCTGTTGCCTTATTTTTGAGAGTGAAATGCAACATGGAAAATAACTGAACCCACTTGAAATAGAAATTCTGTCTTAATTAGCAGTCACAGCAGACTGACTACAAGGCTTCCTTCAGCTCAAGTTGAATAATTAAAAATCTCCAAGGCCGTGAAGGAGATGAGAGTGAGCGACGGGGAAAAAAAGTGTTGAAATGTTTCTCTCGTGTCAAAATCTGCACTGAGAAGCCTGAGCCTCCTTCTGCCTTGCTCTCATGTGTCTCATAACAGCAAGAGTTCATCAGCATTAATAAACTCATTCCATACTTGCACCTGAAGGAGCTGAACCAGGACCTATCGTGATCTCACCTTCCCCATAAGGTGAATTACAAACAACAGATTCTTTTGATGAGCAACAATCATGGAAATCTTCAGGCAGTACAGTTTGTAGTTCTTTAAAATGAAATTTGTACCATACTAGTATTGTAACSTACTTTACCTCTGCTGTATTCTCATTTTTAATGAGGTCTGAAAATTTAGCTGCCATGATTTTTTGCAAAATTGATACAGCCTACTACTAAGTTCACATCATCTGCTCCTAAGAAGATTTTCATTTAATCATTTTCTGCTGTTTTACTTAATGTAAAATCAGTCATCTCAGCCTACAGGAGCATTTTTAAAAATTGTACCYGAGAAAAAGTCTACATACACTCACTGTACAGTCTTCTCTACTATCAAGACCTCTGAACAAAAGGTTGTGGTAAATTTGTATCACAAAAAGCTGTTTTTTTTTCCCTTATCCTTCCTCTTTTCTTTTGGAAAGTTTTGAATGTAAATGTGTACTCCTTCTCTAAAGACCATACCCCTGGCAAAGCTGTTTCTGGTCCATGCCTTTTTGCATATGTTATAAGTGTCTCCAAAGTACAATTAGAACTAATTTGAAATATATATGGAGCTTAAAGATTTCACAGTAACAGTCTCAGTCTGGACTGAAGCTATATACCAGGCCGCCTTGTAACAGGGCAACCTTTGAACATTTTTAGGTTGTATGGGGAAGCTATGCTAGACAGATAAACCTAGGAAGTACTTCCCTTAGCGGGATGAAGGCTGACAATCAGTCAGATTTATGTGCAGTTGTTTGTGTGTATGTGTGTGTGTGTGTGTGTGTTTTTTTAACGTAAATTTGTATTTCAGAATGCCTGAGGTATGTAGGCTGCCCCCTTTCCAGCTGAAATGGAAAATGACTTTCAAGCAGCATCTTCTAATTACTACTATTTTAGAAAGGAAAAGCAATTGCAGTTCTAGACTTCAATGTTTCCCACATAATCTCAGCATTGGACACCTACTCAATGTATCCCATGTTTCCCTTTTACAGCATCCCTATACAAGAAGGGCAGAGTCCCCCAGGAACTGCCATGCAGAAGCTTTTGAAGTTATGCAGAGAATTCTTCTCAGATATCCCCCAGCCTGCATCCCTCTTCTGCTAACATTCACACAGAACAATATAGTCATTCATAGATGGGCTTCAGGTAATCCTGAAATAAATTAAATGCTAGTTATCAGTGTGTCAAAATAGACTGGAATAGCTATATTCCAGTCAGACAAGTTTTCATCACTCATTTGTGGAGTTTTCTTGATAGAAGATTCACATTCTTGTATTTCTCCCAAGTGGCCTGTCCTTTTTTCCAC